GAAAAGGGAGAAAGGCTTGGCTAGGAACCAACAAAGTGCACTCACCAGGCACTGTGTATCTGCCAGGCCTTGATCTTGGACTTCTCAGCCTCCAGGACGCAAAGTAATAAATGTTTATTGTTTAAGCCACCCAGTTTATGATGTTTTTGTTATAGTAGCCTGTCCAAATCCTTATCTCCAGTTCACTTTTCTGAGCATTTCAAATGCCTCTGACCAGGTGCATCAGTAAGTCATTCAGACATCTTGAAGCTGCATGCTTCTCCCTGACACATCCTCCTCCGGCTTCTTATTGCAGTTAGTGCATCATTTTCAACCATCTACCCCAGGTAGAAAATCTGGAATTTTCTCTTTCTCCTTCTAAATCTTCCACTCAGCCACCAAACACCATAATATCAAATGTAGAACTATTTCTTGACTATACTTAACTATTCTCCACCAGGGCCATTGCCTTACCTTTGCTTGTCACCTTTATCATTTCTGTAACTGCAATAACTCATGACCCTGATGAGCTCTCTGACCACCTCCCCCGACTCGTTCTCACTGACTCTACTCCAGGTACTTTTACTGTTCCTCCCACAGGTGGACACATTACCCCTTCATGGTCTTTGCCTTGTTGTTCATGCTGCTTGGGGAACTTTTTGCCCAAAAGCAGTGGTATGCAATTCCAACACCCCCAAACAACTGCCTGAAACCGAACCCCATATATACTGCTTTTTCCTGTACATACCTACCTATGACAGTTTGACTTATACGGTAGACAAATTAAGAGACTGACAGCAGTAACTAATAAAAAAAGAGAACAATAATAATAATAATGTGCTGTAATAAAAATGATGTGAATGTGATCCCTCTCCCAAAGTATCTGATACATACTATTTCCAGACCATGGTTTTCTGAAACAGAGGAAGCCAAACCAGGGAAAATGGAGCATTATTGTACCTTTGTCACCTTTTTCTCACTTCAGATTTTTACTCAAACCTTATTTTATCAACAATAGCAGGCTGTATAATTTAAAATAGTAACGCGTGCCAACGCGTGCCAGCCCATTTCCCGGCTCTAATTTTCTCTCTGGTATATATTACCATCTAACCTAGTCTAATCTTTACTCACTTAGCTTATTGCCTTCTGTCCTACTAGAATAAGCTTCATGACTGAGATTTTGCTTAATCCACTTAATCTACTTCCAACATTTAGATCACAGCTTAGCACACAGCAGTCATTCACGAACAGATGAATTAGAGAATGGGTTGCTCTACTTCCGGTCTCTTCTCTATTCAACCCTCTCCCCATTACCATTTATCTTTTTTAAGGTGTACATTTTTAAATAGAACATTCTCTCTAGTTGGAAAGTTTTTATTGCCTCTTCATGACTTACAAGATAAAATGTAAACCCTTGAGAAAGACACGCCAGATAGTCTCTCATCTGGCCCCAATTCACTCTCAGCCTCACCTCTCCATCTTGAACCACACTTCACCCACGCACGGCCTCTCACTGTTCCTTCTCACACCTCCCGATCTTGGCACAGGGCACTCTGACTGCATAGGGGGTGTGCTTCCACCTTCTCTCCACATGGAGGATTGCTTCATCTTTCATGGCTCAACCAAAATGTCACTTTCCAAATCACTGACTTCCATGCTCCCTGGAGGTTGAGTATTCCTCCCTTTTCTGTAATCCTTTCACAGTGTATCATTATTTGTCCAGATGTCTGTCTTCTCCACTCTTCAGTCAGCTCTTCCAGGACAAAAGGCATACCTAATTCACCCTTTATCTCTAACAATCCCCCTTTAAGACCTTTAATAAATGAGTGGGCAATTAAACCAGTGTGATTATCTAAATAATGCTTTTCAAGTTGTCATGACCTGAAGACCAGAATCTGTGAAATTATTACCATGTGCGAAAAAAGGAACTTTGTAGTTATGACTTAGCTAAGGATCTTGAGATTAGAAGTTTATTTTGATTATCCAGGTGGTTACCAATGTAACTTCAAGGGCTCATAAAAGGAGAAAGAAGAGGCAGAAAAGCAGAGATGGCAGTGAGGTGCAGAGGATGGTTGTTACTGGCAGGGGCAGCTACAAGCCAAAGAATGTGAATAGCTTCTAGTAACTGTAAAGAGTAAGAAATAGATTCTTCCCATAAAACCTAGTGAGAAAACACAGCATGATATATTGATATATTGATTTCACCTGATATATTGATTTTAGCCTCATAAGATCCACCTTCAGATTGTTATGTCCAGAGCTTTAAAAAAACATATCTGTGTTGCTGTAATCTGCTCCATTTGCACCAGTTTATGACAGTGGCAATAGGAATTAGAGCCAGTTGTGATGAGAAACCTGAATTGGAGTGAAGTGACTGATAGGCTGTGTAATTAGGCTGGTTGACATGGATTCGTCATGCAGATGATGAATGTTTTTTTTTTCTATTATGTCAAGAAATATATACAGTATCCCTCCCATGTTACTTCATGCTGCCGTCTCTACAGCTGGGGATGAGAGAATTCACCAGAGACAGACTGGGGAGCAGAATAGGCAGACTGACTGAAGAACACTGCTGATAGGAGCAGCGGGAGAGACAGGAGAGGTCTGCTGTGCCATGTGGGTCACTTCCCTGGCCAGGGATTGAACTCATGCTGCAGTTCCTGGCATTAGCTTGATAGCACTGAGACTTTAACCCTAATCCACCAGGGAAGCCCCTCTATCCTTACAGTTCCTAGGGGAGAGCAGACAAGATATCAGTTCAAAGGGGTAAGCTGTGGGAATTACCTGTGCGACCTTCAGTTTGGGCTTCCTTGCTGAAAAGGCCTCCACTGACGGTTAGAATCCGTATCTTGTATTTTTTTCCTGGTGTTAGGTCTTCAAATTTGTGCTGCTTAGCTGTGGCTACCTCTGATGTGTTACTCAGAAGGATTCCATTTTCACTTAGAAGTAAGATATCATATCTTTCTGCCACACCAACAGCTTTTTGCCAACTCACTATTAAGGAGTGACTGCTATAGGCATTATCTGCAATTATTCCCTGGACAGATGCTGGCACTGCAAAGAAAGAAGAGAGGCAAGGAAATTCAGGTGCCATCACTCTGGGCAAGGTAACCAATAGAGGAAAACTCCTCTTAACTCAACTGCAGACAGAAAACAAAGCCCACAGGTAATTTTGTTGCATTGATACTTTCTGCAGATCCTTGTATAGTACAGTGTTTCTTGGCTTGAGTTATTTACATAGCTGCCTTGATTCTTCATTTTTCTTCTCCATTTAGACAGATAGATAGAAAAGTCAAACAAACAGAAAACTGTTAGCTAAAGAGCACTTGAAGTCAAACGGAAAAATTATTGCAAATGACACCGATAAGTACGCAGTGATGCACATCGGTGTACCGGAAGGTCGGAAAATGAAGACAAATTTACATTTCAGTGAATATAGTTTGCGTGATTCAATTATGTCACTTGCTTAGACCTTCATACACAAGGTTAGTAAGTCAAAGCTTCAAGCCTTAGTCTAATAGTTCGGGTATTGTGGCTCTTCATGTGCAAGACAAATACTATTGTTTGTTAACTTTCTCTGTTCCAGGCTCACCTTTTTCTCATTTATTGTCTCCATTTATTCTCACAGTACATAATCTAAGATCTTATCCACTATCGTGGTTTGAGTTGTTTCCCATATGGGGATGCTTTCCAAATTTAAACTTTCAATTCAGATCTCTTTTTCTATTTTTGCAAATGACATCTCTCTGTGGATGTTTCACAGACAAACACTGCAACTTTCAAGATGTCCAAATCGGACTCTGCAACCCTCCCCCCATCAACACTTATTGTTTTGGCTCTAGCTCTTGGTCCAGGTCAAAAGTGTGGGTTGTCACGCCCACCTGTCTACTATAATCAAACATACGCCTGATCATTCCTGTCTCCTAAAATCATGCATCTATTAAATCTCTCCTCCACTGCCACTAACCTTGGTCAATGTCATCTCATGCACATCATTTCATCTTGCAGTCCTCTTGCTTCTAGACCTCCCATTGCGTCAAACCACACACCTGGCATATTCTCACAGCACGTCCATGCTAATGCCTCTCCATAACTCTAAATTCTTTACCATGGCATCCATGATCTGGTCTGTCTACTTACATTCTTTATTCAGGAATACTAAAAAGTGTGTAGGTTGTCAAATGTGTCATGATGTCTCTAGCCTCCAGGTACTTTCTTTCTCTGCTGGCACCAAGTCAACATGCTTCACCAGGGTGACTTCTTAGTGTCTGTTTAAATGTTACTTCCTCCTGGGAGCTGTCCCTGCCACTGCTAGCTTTCTCTTGTAACATCCTATAATTATGTTTCGCTTTTATCATGTTGCACTTTAATCACCTTTTTGTTTCTCTGTCCCTCTCACTAGACTTCAAGCTTCTTGTAGTCAGGGGCTCTACCTTATAGCTACCAAATCCACATTTTCTGACATTGTGCTTGACACAGGGTTGGATATGTGTGTGTACTTTTATCAAAAGGAGATATAGCAAAGGTAGTATAGAAGTCGAGGCCCCAAACTAGCTAAGTGGTTGTGCGAATGGAAGACAACTGGTAAGCATTAGTCACAGCTGACAGGAAGTGATCCAAAGCCAAGTGCGACACACTTGGCTTTGGATTACAGCTTTAGATGTCAGAGCATATACCCTTTACAATGTTTCATAAGCTCCTTTACTGCAACATCTGTAACATGGAGCTAATGATCTCTACCTTCCATTGTGACGAGAAATGACTGAAAATGACTAGAGATAGCGGGTGCTATCTTCTTTTATGATAAGAGTAATATATATTAATAGTGATATAAATAAACACATACATTATTCACTTATGTGATGTTTACTCATTAGCCACTAGTTAAAGTAGATGGCACAGTGTATATATTTTTTCTTAAAAGAGAATTTTGAGAAGAGTGAAATTATGAAAATGTATAAATGCCTGTTAAAATTGATTTTAATTTTAAAAAAGATTTACTTATTTTTGCATACAGAACTGGGGTACACGTCAGAGGCACAGGGGCAGTGAGAGGACTCACCAGAGACAGAATGGGGAGCAGAATGAGCAGACTGATGAAGTACACTGCTGAGGGGAGCAGCGGGCGGGTCAGGAGAGGTCTGCGGCGCCATGTGGGTCAGTTCCAGGGCCGAGGAGCAAACTAGCACTGAAACGGCTGTGGCTAGCCTACGGTGCTGAGTCCATCAGGGAGGGCCAGAATTTATTTTATTTTTTTAATTAAAAAGTACTTATTTTTTAAATATCCTTGTTGTACCTATGGTCTTCCGCCACCCTCCACAGCATGCTCCTCTCCTCTCTCTTCTCTCCTATCCCCTCCCTGCTTCTTGAGTGTCTCAGATCTACTTGCTGCTTTCAAGGGTCAGTCTTACAGTTTCTCTGTCTGCTCCTTTGTTTGGTTACTCTGGATGCCACCTATAAGTGAAATCACTGCTATTTATCTTTCTCCTTCTGGCTCACACCACTTAGAATAACCCTTACAGATTATGCTCCATGAAATAGGAGGGAAAAAAAAAATGAGATAATTCCAGGTATAGGAGGAACATAGGGAATCTGAACAAAGGGTCAAAAAAAAAAAAAGAGAGAGAGAGAGAGAGAGAGAGAGAGTTAGACAAAATCTACAGGTAAACTTTAGACCCAAGGCATACAGAGTTGGGGGACAGGGTACCAAGTAGGGGAGAGAAGAGCACAAGGGACTATGGTGATGGTTCAGGGGTGATGGGAAATATACGGGGACAAAATATAATCTGAGAATTTAACTATTATACAAAAATAAACAATGTAAGAAAAAAATAAAAATTTTAGCAAAAAATAAAAATAAAAATCCATAAAAAATAAACTAAAATGGCCCTCCCTGGTACTACAATGGGTTAGGACACAGCAGTGGACTTCATCAATCTGCCTGTTCTACTCCCCACTCTGTCTCTGGTGAATCCTCTCACCACTCCTGCACCTCTGGCCTGTACCCCAGTTCTGTATGCACAAATAAATAAATCTTTTTTAAAAAGCTAAAATACATACTCATGTGTTTAAAAAACAAAAAAGAATAATCCCTTCCAGTTCCATCACTAAAACTTGAAACTTTATCTCCTTCAGCGAGTACATGAATTTACTCAAATGACTTAACTTTGGATTACCTTTAATATTTTTAGAAAAATTCTGTTAAAAAAGAAAAGTGGGTCCTCCCTGGTGGCGCAGCGGGTTAAAGCACAGTACTAAGAAGCTAAAGCTGCTTCAGCATGAGTTTGATCCCAGCCCCGGAGGAGATCCACATGGCGCAGCAGACCTCTCCTGACCAGCCCTGCTCCCCTCAGCAGTGTACTTCCTCAGTTGGCCTGTTCTGCTCCCCACTCTGTCTCTGGTGCATCCTCTCACTGCCCCTGTACCTCTGGCCTGTACCTCAGTCCTGTATGCATAAATAAATAAATCTTTAAAAAAAAAAAAGTAGGAGAAAAGCTGTTAGCTGTTGAATTGTACAGATTTGGGGCAGTTTCAACTCAGTATTTTGAGTTGTGAGAGGCCAAGCCCATCATTGTCCCATTATGGAGAACTACGACACCATCTACAGCCTAGCCCTTCTCCAGGTGACCACTCACCTGTCCGTCCCAGTGCATCTATCTGGTTGCTCAAGGACCCGCTGATGGAGGCGATCACGATCTGGTACTGTTCTCCAGCCTCCAGTCTGTGGAACGTGTGCTCAGAGACGTGCTTGGGAATAGTCTGAGAATCAATCTTCTGATTGTGCTTGAAAGCTGACACAGTGTAGGAATCCACGTCTCCCCCTCCAGGAGACCAGTTCACTGTCAGGCTGTCTGTTGCTCCATTGGGAGAAATGTGAATATTTTTGACAGTACTCGGAACTGAAAGAGAAAATACATTTCAAAGCTATCACTTCAAAGAGTGAACTATGGAAATTTTCAAGAGTTTTCATGCTTCTTATGTTTTGGCATCCACTAAAAGAATACATATGAAAAATGATAGTAATTTATCATTTTCCTTTGACTTCTGTCTAAACTGAAGTTGATGGAAGAAGTTTAGACGAACATCAAGACTACTGAACAGAAATGAAGGATGCCAGCAATATAATGAGGGCCTGGTTAGATTGCCTGGACAATCTTGATGTTCTCACTCAAAAGCTGCAGCACTATAGGTAAATTATGGAACCTCTGTAAGTGTCAGTTTCTTCATCAGAATAATGGCAATGATAGTAAGAATTATTGATAATAATAAGCTGATGGAGTTGTGAGGAACAAAATGTACATGTGGAGTACTTTGCTCTGGGTCTGATTTATGGTAGCGAGCACCTACCAACTGGCAATAAGTAGTAATGATCTGAATGACACTATTAATAGAGTTTTGAAGCTATGATGCCCAATCAACAGTTATTTATACTTAATCTATATCCCTCACAAGCATCATCTATTCACATCAACTCAATGATATTTCTTTGAAAGCTTTTTTTTATGCCCTCACATCAGACTTTTTTTGTTAACCCAACTTGAACAATATCATTGTCACTACCCAGGTAACTTTCTCCCATCTTGCCATCCCTATTATGCTTCTGTCATAGCTCCTGGCTCGCCAGCACCCCGATATGTACTCAAGTTCTAGGACTGTATTTTGCACTACCTGTGAAGCCCTCGATAAAGGCTGATCGCTGGACATCTCCACTGATGGTGAGGACGAGAATTTTATATTGGCGCCCAGGCGTTAGCGAGGTGAACCCATATTCAGTTGCAGTATTTACAAGGTGAAAAGGAGGAAATACTTTCATGTCATTGAAGAGCAGTTGGACCTCATACTGGTCAATGTCCCCCTCAGCTCGTGACCAAGTCACATGAAGGTCCTCAGTGCTCCTATTTCGCAATGTTAGATTCTTAACAGGCTCTGGGACTAGGGAGAAATATGAAAAGACATTTCAGGGAAGTAACTGATCAGACTTTACCTAGACAATAATTTATGAATCACATTCAAAGAACTGGCAAACAGCTCTTTTCCCCAAATAAACCACTTGAACTGCTTCCTGCATAATTAAGCCAGAAAAATTGGAAGCGACTATTAAGATTGTAATTTTTTCCTGACATAAATCTTATGTGCTAGATGTTGGAAGACTATAATTATAAAATGAACTATGATCTCAATCATAAGATGAAACAAGATGTCTAGAACTTTAAACGCTATAATGCAGAAGAGCAGGGATGAGAAATAGGACACTTGGCTATTTAACTCACCCACAATGCATGCTTTATTTACCAATAAATATCCTGTAGTTAGTAGCTATCCCTTGACTGAATGATGTTAGCTCCAAGTGAGACTTACTGAGGATGTAATTTGCTAACCAGCGAATAGAGGAAATTTGAGGTTCAGAGAAATTATTTATTCAGTGACTTTCAAGTTACAACCAAGCATTGGATTTTGAAATTTTCTACTTACTTGTTCTCCCATTTCCTTGTTCACTGGCTTCATATTGTCCACTTTTTGTACTAACTGTGACACTATACAATCGTCCAGGAACTAGCTTCACAAATACACATTCATTTTCAGACTTGGGGATGCTTTTTGTTTGAATGAAGTTGTTTTTGTTTTTAATGGTGACTTCATAGTGATCAAAGTCTCCAGTGGCATGCAGCCAGGTTACCTTTAAATAGTCACTCCTGGCTGAGTTGCTAATACTGATCCCGTGGACCTTGTCAGGCACTGAAAAAGAAAACAGAACAGAGAAAGATTTCAGAAATTCTGAGTGAGCATAGCAGGAGCATAAGGTACCAGAAAAAAAAAAGTAATTGGAATAAAGAAAAAATGTAAAACAGTGAATAACTATAAACCAGAGACATTTTATGGGGGTGGAGAGGAGAATAGGATCAAAACTCGGGTGGGAAGAGTGCACGTGACTATGGTGATGCTACATGGGTAATGGTGGTGGGAAGTCCATGGGGATTACAACTGAGATGAAAAAATGCACAAAATGAAGAATGATATAAAAAACAAATTATAATAATAAATAAAGTAAAATAAAAGAAATTCTGAGTGAGCAATGATTACAGATGCTGACTTGAGTTAACGGGGAAGCAAATAAGTTTTTATCAGGTGCATTTTTTTAAAAATAATATCATGTGCATTTAAATCTTAGACCTGTAAGCAATTTCTGGATGGGAAAGATTGTTTTATTACTTGGAGTCATTAAATGGATCTTTTAACAGAACCTGATGAATTAGTTCTAATCCTGTTGTTTGCCTACACAAAATGCCATGTGTTAGATGGAACATTAAATATGATAACTGATGATTAACATGAATGACTGGAATGATAGCATAATTCCAGCATATGCTGGTAACTCAAGGTGTGATAAAAAATTACCAAAGAGAGTGAAAACAATCTGAAGGAAAGATGGAAGGAGAAACACATGGTTAATTAATATATGACCTGATGTCTAGCATCATTAACATTAAAGAAATTCAAGTCAAGACCAGGCTATGCTAACATTTTACATCCAACTGATTGCAACATTTAAAAACCTGATAAAATCCAGCATGAGAGAAGATGCCATTCACAGGAGAGTGGATGAATTAACTGGTACATATACACACTGAAACATTACATAGCAGTCGTCATCAATTTCTTAACTCAAAGCCAAAAATATGAGTATCTTGCCCTTAACATCAAAATGCAAAATATGGATGAATCTTATCAATGTAATAATAAGTGAAAAATCTATGTATGTCCCAAAAGATTACATATTGCATAATAGCGCCCCTTTTTGGCTAGGATAATATATTTTTGTTTTTGTATTTATTTATAGTTACTTTTTAAAAAATGAGTTAACATTGCAATATAACATACAAATGTTCAATGTTGAGTATCATGGTCACCACTAAAAATCCCAATCTACCACTGACCCCTTTTCTGTATTCACCCACCCCTTTCTCTCTTCTTATCTGGTTAACAATCACTAATTGATCTTAAAGTCCAAAAGTTTGTTTCTG